AGAGAAAAGTTTAACCAAAGTTTGGTCCACAAGCACTTTGTTGGCATCTGATCCATGGGATGAGCATTTTGGCTCATCATTTGGAAGGTGCGGTCTGTGTCGGGGTCTAACTTCGGAGCTCCAGGGTGGTGTCGGCCATTTCGTGATTAGCTACTAACAGAAAAGCTGGCGGCCTGAATGTACCCAGAGCTGCCCAGGAACACGGCCGGGCAGTCGGCTTCTGACCGCTCACAGCCATTGAAATCCCTGTGAAGCACAGCTCCGGTCTGACACGCATGGGGTCGCCATGAGCGGAAGTTGGCGTGATGGCCGCTGGTGGTGTGGTGTCTAGCATCCCCGTTTGTTGTTGTTGTTATGTGCCGTGGAGTCAAACCCGACTCATAGCGACCCCTCCTTAGGTTTCCGAGGCAGTATCACTACAGAAGTAGGATGGCCCAACCTTCCTTCCGAGGAGTGGCTGGTGGGTTTGAACCGCCAGCCCTCTGGTTAGCAGGCAAGTGTCTTAGCCACTATGCTACCAGAGCATCCCCGAGTCCTATCTAAATCACGTGGAAAGGGTGGCTCTTTGCAGGAAGCCTTTTCTGGACCGCCAAGGGCGTGGGCGTGTCTTTGTGTTTTCCAGGATCACTGGATTCCAGTAAATCCAGCATTATCTTTCCCGACCTTTTAGCCACAGTCACACCCTCCCTAACCTTCAGCTCCCCTCAACCCCTGCCCCCGTGGTCACCTACTCTCCTCCCCTGGGTCGTCACCTACCCCCAAGCTCCTTCCCGATCCCCGTCCCCCAGCCCCTAGTCTCTCCTCCCTCCCAGGATCAACTCCCTGCCGCCGGCTCCTCCTGCCATCTTCAGCCGTTCTCCTCATTCCCGGACTCTCCTCAACTCGCACACAGCCGGAATCTCACCTTTAGTCCCGCCCTCGCAGCAACTTCTGTGGTCTCACGTCTGCCGGTGCCCACCCACTTCCCAGGGCTGCGTTTCCATTGGCTGACTCCTCCTTGAACTCCGCCCCTCTCAGTTTCCCTTCCTGTGATTGGGGAAATTGGCTGCCTAACATCGGTGTCTCCTGGCAATAGGGCAGGGCGCGCTCCAGGGCCAACCCAGTGGGCCTCGGAGGGGAAGTGGTCGTTGGGACGTGTGTGTTGGAGCCGGGTGAGCGGCGCAGGGGTGCGGCGAGGCTTGGTGGGAGGAGGGCAGCTGGGTGGGCTTGGACCCAGGCCTAGTCCTGGGGCGGACGCTGCGGGAGCGGCCTGAGCCTGTCCTTGCGCCAGCCGCTGGCCGGGGTGGAGGTCGGCCAGCTGCGGGAGGGAGGGTCTGGCCGTCTTCTGGGCATGCGTGCGTGTCGTCAAGGTGCAGGGTCCGGGGAGGTGCGCGCCTGAGTCAGCCCATCATCTGATGTGAAGGAGGAGGGTTGAGCGCTGGTTAGTCGCGGTGGACGCTTCCCGGAGGAGCGGTCGGGGCCTTGGCAGAGCACATGTGGTGGTGGGGTTCTGACTGCTGCCACATTAGCGCCCCCGGCCGGTCTAGCTCCTAACCGAGTTCAGGGCACAGGAGCAGGAAGGGAAGGTGCTCTGGGCCCCGTCCCCCAGAGGGAAGCCGGCCTGGTGTGAGCAGAGGCCCCTTCCATCCACTAGGCGCTCGGCCAGGAGCTTTTGATGCGGCCCCGAGGTGGTCCAGCCTCACGCTGACCCTCTGTGGGAGGACCCTGTGCTCTGGGACACTGACGGGCTGCGTGTCCGTCTGTCCGGGTGGACGCCCTCCGGGAGGGGAACCGCTGGGCCAGGCTGGAAGGAGTGGGGAGGGGTGCTAGGGCCAGTCTGAGCAGCTCTGAGGGGTTGAGGTCCTGGGACTGTGGAGGTTCTCCCTACGCACCCCCAGCACGGGTGTGTGTGTGTGTGTGTGTGTGTGTGTGTAGGGGTGAGCACTCTGACCTTCTAAGCAGGGCTCTGACCCCTGATCGAACGCAAGGCTTCAAGGAGCTGTTTTGGATGGTCTCAGGTTTTCAGAGAGCGGAATGGAGTGCCCTGCCTGACCTTGTTCACCCCGCCTTGGGGAGACCGGCAGAGGCTGGGTGACTTACCCACAGGTGTGAAACCAGCGGGTGCAGACTTGAACCCAGTTCTGCAGGGGCCTGGGAGCTGACAGCTGCGAGTGTCCTGGGTGTCAGGGCGCTTTGGGGTGGACTGCCCCACTCTGCCCCACTGCCTGCCTCCTTGGAAGTGGAGTTTCTCACCCTGCTGACGTTTGGGCTGGGTCACTCTGGCGGAGGCTACCTTGCACCCTGTATGACGCTAACCGTTCTGCCAGATGTCAGTAGCACCCCTTCCTGTGTTGTGACAAAGGAAAATGTCTCCAGACATTGCCACATATGCCCCGGGGGACAAAACCATCTGGTTGAGACTTGCCACTGTAGAGGTCTTGATGTTTTCGTAAGCAAGAACTTGTTGCGTGTCCCCATAGAACAGTGTCGGGTTGCCAGGAGAAGGCTGCCCCATGCAGCAGGGCCACCGTGAGTCCCGCCAGCCTCTGAGAGCCCACGTCAGGGACAGAAAGTTCCGGGCCTTGTGTTTGGAGAGAAAGAACTGCTGGAGGAGTTGGCGAGCGAGGCGGGGGCCCCACCTGGAGCACGCGGTCCCAGCATTTCTGTACTTAGTCTTGCTTCTCGGAGGGCCCTGTAAGAGCAGGCGGGGCTGTCCTGGTCGCTTCTCCAGTGCCCTGCAGACACGAGGAGTGGTGGGCTGGGGCAGAGGTGTGTGCTCAGGGCTCCTGTCTACCCCTCTGTTGACTCCAGCCTGTGGCTCCTACGTGAGGCTGCCCCACACGCTTCTCGCCCCTCCTCACAAAACTGGGGTACCGGCACTGCCCTCCTTCCGAGTCTCCCCTGTGCCCGGCCGTTCTGGGGTCCCACTCCCTCCTGCATTGCCACACACCTCCTGCCCTTGCCTGGCCGGACTGGGGTCCCAGCTACTGCAGCCCCCCCCCCCCCGCAGTCCTTCCTTGGAGTGTCCCCGGCTGTGCTGGTGGTCCCCCCCTCAGCGCCTCCTGCTGGCTGCCTGCCAGAGCAGCTGCTCTCGCAGCCATGTAGGGTCCGGCTGGGTTGGCCTGGCTTCCCTGTCCTGCTGTCTCCACTCCAGGGCCTTCTGGGACCACCTCTCCCTGCCCTGGCTCCCCCTGCTGGGAGACTGTCTGTGTTTCACTGACCTCATCCCTGCAGACGGTGGCTCGCAGCAGTCTCG